CCTGGGAGCTGTGTGAACGCCAAGCTTAGTGTTTTTCATCTGTTTGATAGTAGCTGCCATTAGCCTTGGGGTGTATTTCAGCGTGTGCCAGGGACTGGGTGCATGCAACCATTGAATGGAGCTCTGAGGGCTGCAGGCAGGGTGCTCTGGTCTGGATATGCTTGCTCACAGTTGAGCCAAGTTATTCAAGTGTGTTTTACAGCTGTGCTCTGAGTAGCTTTTGTATTTCTGATGCAAGACCTTTTCCACTTGGTGAAATGCCCTGGCTTCTGATTCTGGTACTGCATGCTGCAGGGCATCAGCATGTTTCTCACTTCCTCATAGTTTGGGGTTTTTTCTGTTCCTCCCCCCCCCTTTACCGTGCCTCTCCTTTTTCCTGAAATTTCTGTTCATCGTGTCTTGCTGAGCCTAATAACCAGTTCATTCTTCTGCTTTTAACTCCAGATGCATCCAAAATTCCCTGTTTCCCTCCCATGTAATCTCCCACTCCTTGGCTAAAATGATGTGGCCTCACTAGCATAGTCTGCAGGTCATTTCTCCTCATGGAGGGCAAAGTCCTTTTAAAAATCCCTAGTGAGGGTTTTTCCAACCTGAAAGAAGTAAAAGAAGAACCTCAAACTGGTAGTTTGTAATTCTTCATGCAGAAAGGCAACGCTCTGATACAAGGCAGATGAGAGTTTAATTTCTCTCCAGCTTTCATTTCAGAAATGTCTGGAAAAATCTCCAAAAATATAGAAGCTTGTGACAGAATTAGCTGCTCTGCCATGGAGGTGTGCCAGGAGACAGGATGTCACAGACTAATTAAATTTTATTAATCAAGCAAGTTGTAATTTTGAGTGGTGTAGCTGAGCTGAGTTTCTGTTCAAAAACTTTTCTTGGGCAGAGAAGAGTCTGTGATTTTCAAAATCTTGGAATAACAGTCTTGAAAAGTATTAACATAATGGGCTGATATTTAACAGCATTGATGGTAGCTGGTAGAATGCCCAGAGCTGAGAAGTTGCTGGAACAGAAACTACTGACTCTTCCAAAAGACATGGATGACCTGGCTAATTTCAGTAGTTGCAGAAAAGAGTCTTCTGGCCTTGCTGAAAAATGAGGAGCAGCAACGTGGTATCTGGGGAGTCTTTTGCAAGAAATGCCTCTCTGCTTAAGGTGACACAACCCCTGTGCAGACCTTTTCCAAAATAAATTTAGAATAAATCCATGGTTTAATACTTCTGTCTCTACAAGCAGCCTGAAATAACAGTTGCACCCTTGTGTAACCATCCCTGCATTCTCCTGTAGATATTTCATAGGTGTATTTTGGCTAAGTATCACAGTATCCTTTAGTTGTTGGGTAGCAGCAGTGTGAAGGTTGCTCAGCTCTTTGGTTTGCTACGGAGTAGGTTACCTAGGAGGCTGCATGTCATTGCCATCTGGGATCCTCCTTTTGTGCCATCGTATCCGTGTCGTGTTCTGCTAGACTAGAAACTTGAGCTTTGAGAATTTGTGGTCTTGCTAAAGGACTTGTTGTTTCCGTGGTGGTTCCTTGCTGTCCCCACTACTGCGTGCTGTGAGGACACCTTGCTTCAGCTCCTCTTAAAATGCCAGCTCAGTTTCCCTTCCCTGGACTGTTGCAGAGCTTCACATGGACTGAGGTGAATACATAGGGAGGAAATACAAATGCATTTGTCTCATGAAATTCTACACTCAGATTATTCTTAGGTATCAACAGCACCAAGTTATATACTCAGGGGAAATCACATAGTTTTACTAAGAACATACAGGGTGCCATAATGACCATTAATTTCTGACATGCTGTTACTTTTCATCTATTTTCTGATGATTTTAAAATGCTGGTCATAGTGAGTGCTGTGTGTGTAGGTGGCAACATTATGAAATCAACAATGCAATTTACAGACAAAGTCACAAATTTAAAGCCGACCTCATTTAAAACTAGTCAATCCTTTCCCAAATTTGATAGTACTGTCAACTAAACATTGTTTGGGTCAGGTGCATCTTTCTGGGATTGTAGTATTTGTTTTCGGATTTTGTGACGAAATTTGTCTTATGGAAATTTTTGTGAGACAAAAGGCATTTCAATAGCACAAGAAGTTTGATAAACTTTCATATTGTAGTTTATATTCATAAATCCAGTAACAATGTAAGGCACAATGAGAAAGGAACTCTTAGAGGAAAAATTATGTGACTAGTTCATAGATTTGGTGAGTCACACATGCATCTGTTGCTCTAAGTGTGTATGTTAAAATAGGAAAAAAATACTTATTTGAAGTTAGCACCACATTAATTTGCATTTCATGCAAGTTTTCTTGGCTGAATTGTAAAAGAGTTGAGAAACCTGTAGTCCTGGCAGCACAACCACTTCACTCACCTCATAGGGTTCTTCTGAAGTATTCCTGGTGCTAATGATTAACTTGTGATTTTATTTCCGTGTCCCCCTCCAGATCTAGAGCAGCATAGCTGAAGGCAACAATGTTTTCCAAGCTGACCCACCCTCAGAGCCTTGCTGCTCTCTCCCGAGGTGTTTGTGCTTCTCTGAGTTCTGCTGCCTCCCTGAGTTCTGCTGCCTCAGTTGCTACCAAAAAAAACGTTCAAGGATCTGCATCCTCTGAGTACATATTTGAGCGGGAGGCCAAATTTGGTGCCCACAATTATCACCCACTCCCTGTGGCTTTGGAAAGAGGAAAAGGTATTTTATTTAGGTTTCCTTTGGGTGGTGTAGATGGGATGGGATCATGACATAAGGATTTTGGCATAACACATTTCTGAACTTTTGGTTTTTTTTGGGGTGGGATTGAGGTGACTGATGAAATAAAGGCAGCTGATTGCTGGTCAGAGAACTGGATCATAGTGCATAAGGCCTCCTGATAAAATTGTTCTGAAATGATTATTCTGAGTAGAAGTCTAAGTTCTGATAATCTCCATAATTCAAATAACTCAGCGAGGAAGTTTCAAGCAACTTTGTGTGTTTTGTTTCTTTATGTGGAGAGGCTTAATGTTGATGTGAACATGAAAAGGTTCATTGGAACTCTGTCCTGGAGACAGGCTGGGAGAGTTAAGGCTGTTCAGCCTGGAGAAGAGAAGGCTCCAGAGAGACCTTAGAGCACCTTCCAGTGCCTGAAGGGGCTCCAGGAAAGCTGGGGAGGGACTTTTCACCAGAGAGGGCAGTGATAGGACAAGGGGTAATAGTTTTAAACAGAAAGAGGGGAGATTTAGGTTAGTTATTAGGAAAAAATTCTTCATCATGAGGGTAGTAAGGTGCTGGAAGAGGTTGCCCAGGGAGGCTTTGGAAGTCTCTTCCCTGGAGATGTTCAAGGCCAGGTTGGATGGGGCTTGGAGCAGCCTGGTCTGGTGGGAGGTGTCCCTGCCCATGCAGGGGGGTTGGAACTGGATGAGCTTTAACGTCCCTTCCAACCCAAACCATTCTATGTTTCTATGATTTAAGTCCTGTGTTATTGCTTGATTTATTTTGTGTATTGACCATACCTGTGTTTTCCTAGGTGTTTATGTGTGGGATGTGGAAGGCAGAAAGTATTTTGACTTTCTGAGTGCTTACAGTGCTGTTAATCAAGGGCACTGTCACCCAAAGATTGTGAACGCTCTGAAAGCTCAGTCTGAAAAACTGACCCTTACATCCAGAGCATTCTACAATGATGTACTTGGTGAATATGAGGAGCTTGTCACCAAAATGTTCAACTACAACAAAGTTCTTCCCATGAACACAGGTAAAAAATAAAATTCAATTTCATTTATTATCTGTGAGATTCAATGATTTTGTGTCTTTTGTCACTGTGTCGATGGCCTGTCTCATGTGCAAGTGTGATCATGGTGTTGCTTTATGGTTTAGGAGTGGAAGCTGGAGAAACTGCCTGCAAATTGGCTCGGAAGTGGGCCTACACTGTGAAAGGGATTCCAAAATACAAAGCCAAGATTATTTTTGCAGGTATGTAAAGTGCATGTTACGAGTTGAGGTGCTGAGGAGGAGGAAAGCTCCAGGCTCTGGCCATAGCACTCTGTTTTCTCCAGTAGCTGCAGGGATTATTTGCAGTATTCTTATTGTTTCAGTTTTTTCACTAGACCCAGTCTGTGGAAGATCTCTATGACCTCTGACATTTTAATAGTTGATGCTATTATTGTAACAGGTTATGTTGTACTCACATATCTGCAATTGGTGTGTCTGATGAAAAACTATTGTTGTGGCTACAACAGCCTTTGCAGGACCTGAAGGTTTGCTAAGTGCCTCCTTCTAAATTGTGAAGTTCAGTCTTAAAGATATTCAGTTAATAAAATATTCTGTATATGCTTCTGGCTATTCAATTTGAACCTTAAGCAGTTACAATAAATATTTTTTAAAATGTCATGTCCTTTAAGAAACACATATGATCTTAACCAAAGTGATTGTAAAAGCAAGAGAAATGTATATGATTCCTATGAGGAATCTCCCTTGTGGACGTGGATGCATCAAGTGGCAATGGGGGTAGCTGTGCTGGTAATGTCTGTTTTTGCAAGGGAAGTGCAACAATGAAGTTAAGTCCAGGAAGGAAACCTGGACTAGTTAATTAGGTGGTTCATAAAGCAATTGAATATATAAAGTGGACCTTATTTGTACTACTTAACCTTTTTAGTTGTCAAAAATTAATGAGTGACTGCCTGAAGTCACATGGAAAGTGTATTCAGTGCTCCATGCTCTTCTAACTGCTGCTTGGGTGTTAAAGTGCAGTATCTTTTTATTCCCAAGTGGTTGTTTTTTATATACCTTTCCCTTGAATTAATTCCTCAAATTGCTGCCTCCCTTCTTATAGATTCCACATTTGGGTTGAACCTGCTTTCCTTACTAGTGGTTTTCTTGTGCATTCTTAAGGTCTCCCAGAATTTGGCATTAGCCTAATAAAACCATATTGGAGTTGTGATCAGATAATGAAAGAGAAAGCAGTCTTGCTAAAGTAAATATGGGGCCCTGGAAAATCCTGAATATATGTGTGGTGTAATTCCTCCCTTCATCTGCCTGCTCTGCAACAGGGAGAGATTATGTGCTCCTGAAGAGACTGTTGTTGTTGCTAAAAATAAATAAATAAATAAATTCTAATTAAAATAACTTACTTTGGGTATTCTTTGATTGTAGGCGAAGTATTTTTGTCAATTCTAATGTTATTCAGTGGTTCTCTATTTTATAAAACCTTCCCAAATAAAGCTTGCTAGTTAAATATTGACTTATTTTTTTTTTAATTTCTACAGCTGCAAATACTTTTTTTTATTTTTCATGCATATAGTAGCTGAATTATTAACTGTTACTAGCATTTATGATTTGAAATCCATAGTTGAATGTTGCCTTATGATTTCTAGGAGCGATTAGATTAGATTGTTTTTCTCTTCTGGGAATTCTGTGAACAAATACATTTCTCACTCCTTCTCTTCCATATATATTTTGTTTTATCAGATTAGTCAGTTAACTTTTAGGAAGTGCTTTCTCATCTTGAGAAACTGGGTATGCTCTCAGTTATTATGATCCCATCTCCTTAACTACAAGATTTAATTATGTACCAAGTAACTGAAACAAAATAATAATCCTTCTCTTATCAGGAGCCAGCATTTGGGCAGAAAAAAGCTCTTTTGGGTAGCTTGGGTCAGAACAAGCAATGCCTTTAAACATCACCTTTTGATTTAGGTTCACTGGCAGCTTTATTTTTAAGAACTAAATTCTGGGTGGTGGTGATATTTTTTTTTCTTTTCTGCATTTAATGAGTAATATTTATATAAAAGCTCTACACCTTCCTTAAAAAGATGTTATCTTCCTAAGTTAGGTTACATTTTCAGACTACTATGAAAGCTCAGGGAACTGATTTTGTATACTTGCCTGGTCTTACAGTGTATTTGTCTTTTGCTTTTGATACAGGAACACAATGTATATATGGCATCAATATAAAATGCTATCAATTAGCAGAAGGATGCTAATATTCTAACATTAGACAATTCTTAAAACACATTACCAGATGGAAAGTGTGATGTCCTATAAATTATTCTGGCTCTTAGTCAGATTTGTACCAATCTCCTCTTCATTTTTTTTTATAGCTGGCAACTTCTGGGGCAGAACCATGTCTGCTATCTCCAGTTCTACTGACCCATCCAGCTATGATGGGTTTGGACCCTTTATGCCAGGTTTTGAAGTCATCCCATACAATGACCTACCAGCTCTTGAGGTATTTGACTATTTTGGTTCTAAGAAATCATTTTGCAGTGTCTCTTTGGTGAATAGCAAGGCAGGAAAATCAGAAGTTTATCCTTTGAAAAACCTACTTTGGCATGAAGAGGTATCTATCTAGACATATATTAGAAATATATATGTTATAATTGTGTATAGGAAATGTGTATAAGCTCTGCTTTAGGATGTAAAAGGAAAACCATGTGATCTGTTTCATTTCCCACATCACTAAGGTGTTCTGTGTACAACAGGACAACAGCAGATACACCATGAGGAAATTCAGACCAGTAGAATACATTCCAAAGGCAGGACTTGGATTCTAATATCTATACCTACTTCCCTCAGAAATGCTGTGCATTCTTCAATGACCACATGACAGGATTCACTGCAGTTGCAGAGAGGTCTCTCCAGCATCCTTAAACCCATGCTAGGCTGCTGTTTTGCTGAAGTTACTGGAATTACAGTGACTCTGTGTTGCCCCAAGTTTTCTGTGGTGCATCCTGTAAAGCTGTTGGGGAGGGATGACCTTGATTAGTCTAAAATTTCCCACCCTTATAATGTGGGATTAGGTATTAAAGGGTGGGTTTTGCTTGATGGCAGCCATAGGGTGCTGGACTTGGGATGTGGGAGGCAAGAGGGTTCCAGCCAAACACAGTCCTGAAACACTAGGAAGGTTGGCATGGCCACTTTTCCATCATCTAGGTACGTTGTCTCCATGTCTCCTGGCACTACAGATTGGTTAGTCCTCTCTGCCTTTTGGGTCTGCTTAGTGCAAGTGAGTCAGCTGTGGAAGTTGGAGGGTTTGTGGGACAGAGATGCTTGCCTCCTAGGTGTCTGGTTAGAGGAAACAAAGGTCTCTCAGTGTATTAGAGTTGCAGTGTGGAAAAGCTTACTCAGATTTGAACCTATGTGAAGCTGCCCATTGTGAAAGCCCTCTAAGTATTTACTGACTTTCAGCCAATTTTATTGAGGCTTTGAGTGGACTGGGAACTTGGATCCACGTCCATCAGACTGATAACTGAATTTGTCCTGTTTATGGGGCAATACTGAGAGAAGCTCTAGTAAATCCATGCTGGGAATCATCATATCTCTTGAATCTTACGGACTGTAAACCTTTTAGAACTCAATGTTGCAAGAATGTAGCTGTGGACTTTGCTTTAAGATGACAAAATTGTTCTGGAGAGGCTCCATTTTTTGCTTGAGGGAAGCGTTGAGCAACTGTTTGTCCTGCACGGGGTAATGCAAAACTGAGTGGATTTCTGAGGTAAATTGTGAACTGATCTGATAATCTGCTTGTCTGGGTTTGCAATTTTGAAGGTTTCTAATTTCCCAAGCAAGCACACCAGCTGATCTTTTGAGGGAAACAGTGACACAGGCTTCTGTGTTGGAACTGACATGGCACTCAGGGATAACTGCCTGACATGAATGCTGCTCTCATCATTTGAGGTAGAACACCAGGGGCAGAGCTAGATTCTGCTACACGTATCTATCTCCAGAGCTTCTAAATCTGACCTGAGTAAAAAGGTTTCTCTGTCCATTTGTCCAGCGGGCCCTTCAAGATCCCAATGTAGCAGCTTTCATGGTTGAACCCATCCAAGGTGAAGCAGGTGTGGTTGTTCCTGACAAAGGTTACCTCACGGGAGTGCGGGAGCTCTGCACCAAGCACAATGTAAGTAATTGGCTGCAATGTTACACACTGTGTGTGCTGGCAGGTCTTGGATGCCAGGTTGAAGACTTTGTGTGCTATTTAATAATCTCTTTTTCTTTCAGTGGAATAGGGTGAGATACTTCTTGTATTTCCTGGCAATACCTTACCAGGAAGTACTTCTTAGCAGTGCATGATTTTCCCTGTTTCTTAATGTTGTCACTGGTTTGAGTTTCTAATGAATGTACTTGAAGCTGCATTTATTTAAAATTTATTTAACTTTCAATCTTCTTTTCACCTTACAAGTTTCTTGGGCCAGGGGCCAATTACTGCAGTAGTTCTACCATGGCTATAAAGGGACCTTATTGCTGCAGTTCATACAAGCTGCCAGGAGTTAGTAAGAGTAATGGTGTGGAGAGGGTTGTGGAATGAAACACTAAAGAAAATGGTCATCTGCTTATGGATGTTCTTTTAAGACCTCTGAAGAGCAAAGGTCTTTTTCTCTGATTTTGTTTCATACTGCATTCCTGTCTCCTATTCCAGATATCATGCCCTGCCTGAATCCTACTAAGAAATGTTTAGTTTTGGAAGCAGAGTGTTAGATATGTAATTTCAGACACAGTGAATTAGATCTGCATTCTGTGTCTGTGAAAGGTTGGCTTCCATGTCCTTCAGTTGCTACTTCTCCCCAGCAGGGAGCATGCTGCCTTCTTCCAGGACCAGTCTGGTCAGCCTCTCCCACAGGCCCAGGCCATGTCTTTTGTACGTCTAGGGAAAACGACAGGAAAAGGTCTGCTGATTTACAACTTTTTATGCCCTCGCTGTTGCCTGTGTGATTTAAAAATCAGTGACCTCTGTTCCAATTAGAATTCAGATTCTTATTTTGCAAGTGCTACCCATAAATTATTCAGAGGAAGGTATTGATGTATAATTAATAACGTTGTTTTCATTGTTGCTGTGATACCTCAGAAAAAATCAGAGCTACTTTGCAAATAGTAGTGCATGACAATAGTGAAGCTTAGGAAAACAAGATAAAAAAATGTATTTAGTTTTTCAGAATTATTTAGACACAGACATCAGACTGCAAGACCTGCAAGGTTGCTAAAGTGGCATTTTTCAGAGGCTTCCAAAGGTCAGGGTACAAATGATACACTGGAAGTGAAGACAAACATCCTAACTTTTTGCAAGTCTCACTCATTGTTATGTTGCAAATAGATTTTGGTTGGGCAGTGTCCAAACCCTGCGTGGACTATGCCTTGCACAGAAAAGAATGTGCTAAAGATGTGAGGGAGAGAGAGGACAGCATGTTCATTTGTTAGTGGTTTCACATTCCATAGAATGTGTGTATCTCCAGCAGGTTTAGAGGAGCAAAGGAAGTACCTTTGTGTTCTTAGTGTGCTGGAAGCTCTTTCACTTACTCTGTACAACTTTGCTGTGTTGTTTGAATCAAGCTGGGAATCTGAGTGAAAGTCATTCTGTCTTATGTATGATTTTTCTTCCTTCTGTTTCTATAAAGGTTCTGTTTATTGCTGATGAAGTACAGACTGGTTTAGCCAGAACAGGGAAGATGCTAGCTGTGGACCATGAAAACGTGAGACCTGATATAGTTCTTCTTGGAAAAGCCCTTTCTGGTGGCTTATATCCTGTAAGTAACAAAGAAAGACCCATTTAAGTAATTACACTGAAAATCTGTTAAGTGGAAGGCAAACGAAGCTGACTTACAAGGTTAACTGTGAATGATGATGCAGGTAGTCTAACCTGTGAGAGAAAGGGAAGAAAATAAGAAATACATCATGTTCCATTCCTAGCAGAAATGGTTATATAGTATCCTGAAATTTCTGTGTTGATAACTTGACTTGTTAGGGTGGTGAGGTAATTAAATACCATCCTCTTAGGCTGGTGAGTTTTAGGTATTTTGGCCCTTGTCAGTTAATTGAGGAGATTTGGTAGATCTGTTTTCTTCAGTTGAATATTATCCTGACTGGGAAGTCAGTGTCCAGGGGTCAGCCTTTCATTCTGGAATTACTGGTTAGTTTTTGGAACTCTTTCTGGAGAGTATCACAGACATAGTGAATTTCTAGGTAAATTCTGTAAAGGAAGAAAAAAAATCCTGATGTGTTTAATATTGATTATAAATCTATATTTGTACATCTGACATTACTTCCCTTGTTTGGCATCCCACATGGCTGATTTTATCCCTTTAGGAATGACTCAAATTCCTGCT